CCATTGTTAGGTAACCTCTTTCCCATATCAGCACCCCCTTTCTCGCATTGTTTAGAGGTCTTTTTGGTGTCTCATCAGTTTTGTGGATCCAATAGCCAGTAGTGGTGACTTTGCTCAGTATCTGTTAGGTGGTGATGATGTTGATCTTTTTTTCTTCTTCACTTCAGTGGTAGTTTTTTTAACACCTGCATTCTCGTGACAAACCATTGTGAAAAAGTACTTGTCAGGTTTCTGTTGCTAATGTGAGACGGGGAAGAGATTAGTGAATTGGAGGTTCAGAGAATTAAACAGAAAGTTGTTTTTTTTTTTTTTTTTTTTCTTGGAAAAATAAGCAGCATTGGTAATGCTCTGGCCAAACTAACTGAAAGAGAGAGAAGACCTACATTAAAAAATGTAAGAGGTGAGAAGTTGTACAACAGATTCCAGAAAAGTCTTGTGAATCAACAGAGAGTAACTTTAAAAACATATTCCCCAGCTGGGCATGACAGTGCACACCGTGGCACAGCACTTGGAGGCAGAGGCAGGTGGATCTGTGACCTCTAAGTCCAGCCTAGTGTACAGAATGAGTTCCAGGACAACCAGAGCTTCATAATGAGACCCTGTCTTGGGAAAACCAAAACTCTCACAGAACTAAAAACACTAAAAGAAATGGATAAACCCCTAAGTAACTATGACATCAAAATGAAATAAAAAAGCTATAAACTATATTATTTCCTGTGCTCCCATGATTGAGATAGCTGTCTTCCTTTTCTATGTATAGCATTCCTTTAAGAACCTTGTACTGCTGGCTTAGTGGTCATGAATTGCCTCTGTTTGTGCTTGCCTGGAAATACTCTTATTTTCCCATCAATTTTAAAAGGTAGACTTGCTAAGTGGAGCATTCATAGTTGGCAATTATTTAGATTCAGGACTTAAAAGGTATCAAATTAGGTTTGGTAAGATAACTTATCAGGTAAAAGTGCTTATAGCCAAACATGATGATCTGAGCTCAATTCCCAAAACTCATTTGGTGGAAGGAGAGAGCCAGTTACCTCAGGTTGCCCTCTAGCCTCCACATAGGCATGGTGGCACGATTCCCCTCCCCTGCAACACACGTTAAATAAGTAAATGAATGTTTTAAAAACAAAGAAGAAATGTAGCCCATGCTCTCCTGGCTTTGCGGCTGCTGGTGAAAGAGCTGGTATTCTTTTGATGTTTCTGCCTCTATAGGTGAGTTGCTTTTCTCTTGTGGCTTTTAGTACTTTTTTTGCTTTTGTGGTTTGGGCATTTTGAATATAATATGTTGTAGAGAAATTCTTTTCTGGTCATGCCTACTTTAAATTTCTTCAGATTTGGGGAATTTTCTGCTATAACGTCATTGACTATGAAATGACTCTATGCTTTAGTGTTTACTGTTAGATCCTTCTGTCCTCTGAATATGTGACTTTGGTCTCTTGGTCAGAACCCATAGTTCTTAGGTACAGTGGTCCTGCTGGGTTTCCCCTTATTGATATTTGACTTTGTCCTCTGATACTGTTTCCTTATGCATGGTTGAGTCTATCAGTTATGTGTTCTACTGTGCTTTTTATTATGTTCATTGAGGTTTTTAATTTTGAACATTTCTGATTTTTTTTTATTTCATTTTCCTTGCTGAAATTGTATATTGCCAGTTTTCTCATCTGGTTTGCTAACCTTTTCATTTGTGTATGTTTCCAACTTTCTTTTCTAGGTGTTGGGTTGAATTCATCTACTTGTTTATATGCTTTTGAATAGCATAGATTTATCACAAATGGAAAATTCTACATCTGGCCTTGGGTGGAATTTTTCACCTTCAGAACAATTTCATAATTGTCCTCATACAGATTCTATGTCTAATAATTTTGCTTATTTTACAGTTTTGATCATGATAGTAAAGTTTTTCCATTATTTGTGCTTATTGCTGTAATGAAGAGAAAAGCTAACAGCTTTGAATATTTATATTAATGGCCAGTCATGATACCAAAAACTGTTATTAATTCTCATAGTTATTTTAGGAACACCAGTACTTTTAGTTTTACTTTTAGAGACTGGAATCCTTTAGAGTTTTGGTGTTTACCATATCATTAGAAAAAAAAAAACTTAATATTTTTCTTTCAACATTAGATATGCCAATTCTCAATTTATTTGTTAGAGAATTATAAAAAAATTATTGGAAAAGTGACATAGGATGAGAAAAGGTAGTAGCATAATGTCCAGAAGCAAGTATGACACCAGAATGTTCGTTACTCTACATCTTGTATGTCATTGCCATTACTTTAATTAATCTTATGATGCACTGGAGAATCAACCAGGTAGTTATTTTGATAAATTGCTTTGCACATATTAACTACTACAGAGGTAAAATGAAAGCTCAATGGATGTATTTTACTTTGTGAAAAGCACATTAAAAACCTGATTTAACATAAAACTTGAATTAACATAAAACACCAATCAGAGAGTGATTATTTGTTATGTCTAGGAAATTGTCAGCTGTGCAATTCCAATGAAGGTGATTGCCTTTAAAAGGAAGATGCCTATGGTGTCATTAAACTATTTCATTTTACACAATTTAGTTCATGAATAGCTTTTTAAGTCTTTCATATTGATTAAATGAAATTATGTTATATTTAAAAGATAACCATTAATGAGAAAAAAGTTTTCTTAGAAATATTTGTGGAAGGAGCTGGCTGTCTCCATCAGTAAAGCGCTTGCCTTGAGAGCACGAACACCTGAGATTGAACCCACATACAATGCCAGGCGTGGGCAGGAGAGACGGCCCAGAAGTTTAAACCACTCGCTGTGCTCGCAGCAGACCTGCGTGCTTGGTTTCTAGCGGCCGTGTGATGGCTCAAGCATCTGTAACTCCTGCTCCATAGGATCTGATACAGTCCTCCTGCCTCTGGGTACCTGAGGCACTCATATATCCATACAGGCACCAGCACATACACATAAAGTTTAAAAAAAGAAGTCTTTTTTTTTTTTTTTTTGGTGGGGAGAGTAATGCCAGGCATGGTGGTGAACACTTTTAATCTCAGTGTTGGGCAAGAGAAGGATCCCTTCAGGCTTGCTGGCCAGCCAAAGTAGCATAATTCTTGAACTTCAGGCCAAAGAGAATCTTAAAGGAGATTGACTGTACTGCCAAAGATGGGGACTTGAAGTGTTTCTGTGGCCTCTGCACATTGTCCTAGTTAGAGTTTTATTGCTGTAAAGAGACAGCATGACTATGGCAACTCTTCTTATAAAGGAAAACATTAAATTGGGGCTGACTTAGAGTTCAGAGGTTTAGTCCATTCTCCTCATGGTGGGAAGCATGGTGGCACGCAGGCAGACATGGTTCTGGGGAAGGAGCTGAGAGGTCTATGTCTTGATCCACAGCAGCAGAAGGGGACTGTGCACCACTCTGGGGGTAGCTGGAGCATAGGAGACCTCAAAGCTGCGCCCCCATGGTGACACCCTTCGTACCAAGGTCACAGTCTCTGTGGGCCAAGCATTCAAACACATGAGTCGATGGGAGCTGTACCTATCCAACCCACCACAGCAATCAAGTGCCCATGTATATGCACCACACAGACATGTGAACCTTGCAAACATGAACATGTGTACACACATGTGCATGCATTTAACATTTTAGGAAGAACATGAAATGTAAAGGCAGGAGTTAGAAGCTGCCAGTTTTAAGCCTTTGCCTATTCTACACTTTCAGGTAACTCATTGAATGGGTAATGTGTGTGAAAGTGCTCAGAGCATAAAGAACAACACAAGTGTACAGTGATGTCAGATACATAGATGTTTCTGCTACTCTTGATTGAGGTGACATTTAGATTAGGAAAAAAAGGAGTGTGATCATTTGAAGAAAAATACTCTAGAACAGCTAATTGACACTGGTATTTTCTTTCTTTTGGCTTTTTTGAAAACAGGGTTTATCTGTGTAGCCTTGGCTGTCCTGGACTCACTTTGTAGACCAGGGCTGGCCCCGAACTCACAGAGATCTGCCTGCCTCTGCTTACCTGAGTGCTGGGGCTATAGGTGTGTGCCACTGTGCCCAGTTTGACACCAGCATTTTCTAACCAGGATTTGTACATTACTTAGGATGACTTTTTCCATTGACATGTTATTTGTTGAACATAATACTGTTTGACAAGAACATTTTTATAACACTGTATAATGTGCTTTGGCCATGTCCTCTCATCCCGCATGTGGTGGTTTTGTCAGCTTGACACAATGAGGAATTATCTGAGGAGGGAGTCTCGGTGAGGGGTTATTGGGATTAGCTTGGCCTATGGGCATGGCTGTGGCAGATTAGCTGGAATAGTGGGAAGGCCCCCATGGTGGGTGACACCAGTGTCTAGACAGGGAATCCTGGATTGTGTAGGAGTATATTGTGTAAGCAAGCTGAGCAGTGGTATCTATCATGCTTGAGCTCATTGGTCTCTACTTTTGGCTGCGTGTGTGATGTGACTAGGGCATGATGTGACTCAAGCTGCCACCTTGACTCCCCCAGGGTGACTGAATGTAACCTGGCATTGTGAGACAAAACTCTTTCATAGGTTGTTTTATTTTTCAGGGTATTTTATCACAGCAACAGGAAAGGAAACTAAGATACCCTCTCTTTCCCCTTTGCCACTCCCCTCTCCTCCTGTTAGTCCCCAATCTGTAGAAGAACACATTTTAAATAGAAAGTAATCATATTAAGTGTGACTTTTTAGTGATAGAAAAGGGAAGCAGGAATATTGTAAGTTGTACGGAGAAGGGGTGGACTGCATGGATGATGTTGATTGGATCTTACGTGGAATATTCCATGGATTTGTTTGAACATAGCTATTTTTTGCTTTCTCTATGAGATTTGGCTTTACAATAAACACAAGTGTAATACCGGGTATTGGGTTGAGGTTCACTGCTGTGTATGTGTAACTGCTTAGGAATACTGGGGGCTGTAGTCTGTTGCTTGTTGTTTTTCTAAGATAACTCTGACAATTTAACTTTCCTTTACATGTTTGATATAGGTAATATTTATGAAGATTCTTGTGCCAGTTATGGTCCAATGAGTTTAAGGGAGTTGGAGTTGCAGCCTGATTCTAAACTTATTCTTCCCACAACACGTACAACAAAAGGCAGTGACCTTAATTTACCAGAAGCAGCTGAAGATTTTTCTCAGGTACCAAAACAAGCACATTTATACTTTACTTAAAACGAGAATTGTAACTCTGAGTTCAAGGCCAGCCTGGTCTATATAACAAGTTCCAGGACACTTAGGGCTAGGTAGAGAGACCATGTCTCAAACCAAACAAAAACAGACCTAAGTTAAATCCCTAGAACATTTTTAGGGGGGTGGGAGTGACAGAGACAGGGTCTTACTATGTAGTCTTGGCTGTCCTCAAGACCAGGATGGCTGCAAACTCTACATACTTACTGCTGGGATTAAAGGATTTAAGGTTTGCCTCAACAAACCTGGCATCTTCTAGAACACTCTTAAAACCAGCTCCATGAGTGTCCTTTGCACATAAACACTGCCCCCACACAAAGTAAGTTAAAAATGTTTAAATAAAAACTGTATATAAAATGTCTTGACACCTAGTTAAGTCACTATCGTAATTTATATCTTTGTGACTACATAAAAGCCAGCTCAGTAATTTGTGCCTATTTAGTATTTGGTGTTTATAGCTTTAAAATGTATAGAATATGTTCCATGAAAGCATAATTTTATAAAGAGTGAAACCAATGGCCCATGAAACCTTGTATATTAAAAAATTAGGATGATTGTTCTGTAAGATTTTAATCTAAATAAATGCTCATGGTTATAAATATAGTTTCATATTCATGATTAGCAATTCATTTCTTATTGTGAATTAATTTATTCAGTCAGTATTCATTGCATGGTATTTTACAACGTTACATGATATCAAGGAAGAATATTTAAAATATATAGTAAAAATTGCTTATGGAATACAACAGTATATATTGTTACTGCTAATCTGTGCTCAAGTAAAAATCAGGAAAAATTAATAAATATGCTAATGGTGTCTGTATTAAACGAAGTATTTTGTGACTAAAAGGCAAGAACTTTTTGAATGCCATCGCAAAAGCACACTGTTCATGAAAAAGAATTAAATAATTAGCTTTTATGAAAAATAAGAACTTGTATTCCCCCCCAAAATAAGAACTTCCTCACCCCCAAACACAATATTAACAGGGTGAAAACTTCCTCACCCCCAAACACAATATTAACAGGGTGAAAAAAACAAGTAGCAAAGTGGGAGAACAGAGCATAAAAATGAATCAAAGAATTAAGTAATAAATGCAGCTCAATTTAAAACAAAATAATTTGGACATATACTTAATCTAAAAATGATATATAGAAGCTAAATTAGCATGTAAAATGATATTAAACATTAGGAAATGCAGGTTAAAACACAACAAGCAGGCTGGAGAGATGGCTCAGAGGTTAAGAACACTGGCTGTTCTTCCAAAGGTCCTGAGTTCAATTCCCAGCAACCACATGGTGGCTCACAACCATCTATAGTGAGATATGGTGCCCTCTTTTGGTGCACAGGCACACATGCAGGCAGAACACTATAAATAATAAGTAAATCATTTTTTCATTTTTTATTAATTACACTTTATTCACTTTGTATCCCCCCTGTGGTTCCCTCTCTCCTCCCGTTTCAATCCCTCCCTTCCTCCATCCTCGGCATGCATGCCCTCCCCAAGTCTTCTGATAGGGGAGGTCTTCTTTTCCTTCCTTCTGATCCTAGTCTATTAGGTCTCATCAGGAGTGACTGCATTGTCTTCCTCTGTGGCCTGGTAAGGCTGCTCCTCTCTCAGGGGGGAGGTGATCAAAGAGCAGCCAATCAGTTCATGTCAGAGACAGTCCTGTTCCCATTACTATGGAACCCACTTGGACACTGAACTGCCATGGGCTCCCTCTGTGCAGGGGTCCTAAGTTTATATCATGAAATTTACAGGTAAATGGTGGGAACTGGAAAAGATCATCCTGAGTGAGCTATCCCAGAAGCAGAAAGACACACACAGTATATACTCACTCATATTGACATATGATATAGGATAAACCTACTAAAATCTGTACACCTAAAGAAACTAATCAAGAGGGAGGACTCCTTCTAAAATGCTCAATCCCTATCCAGAAAGGCAAAGAGGCTGGACATCAGAAGAAGGAGAAAAGAAGGAACAAGTCAGGAGCTTGACACAGAGGACCTCTGAAAAGCTCTGCCCTGCAGACTATCAATGCAGATGCTGAGACTTAATGGGCAACCTTTGGGCAGAGTGCAGGGAATCTTTATGAAGTGGGAAATAGTAAGACCTGGAGAGGACAGGAGCTCCACAAGGAGAATAAGTAAATCTTTAAAAAAAGAAAAAAGAAAAACAACAACAACAGGCTACCTCTATACACTCGTTAGAAAGCGAAAGACCCCAAGGCTGTCATGCATTTGTTGGCAAGGATGTGGGACAGCTGATCCCAGGTACGTTGCTGGCTGGGGATATGGAATGGTACAGTCATACAGCTAACACATGACCTATACATTTTACAGAGGCGTGTCCATGGGAAATTTGTAGTTGTATTAGCCCCAAATTGGAAACAACACAATGTTCATCAACTGGAGAGAGTATATTAGGTTCTGTGCTCTAGAATACCACTCTCCCCAGGGCATTACAAGTATAGGAACTCCTGAAATACACAGTAATTTATTTACTCATTCATCATGCACCCCAGTTCTGCTCCTCTCCCTGTCCTGTCATATCCACCCTATTCCCTTGCATCCAGGTCTTCACCCGGTTATCCAGTTGTTGCCCTGTATCATGGAGATCCCAAGCTTTGGACCAGCAGGACTGGCCCTTTCATGCATCCCAACTGTTTGCATGATACAGATGATACAGATTTTGGGGTTGGCCAACTCCGAGCCCTGGATCTGGGCCTGGGTGGTAGCTAAGCTAGTCAGCCACCAGCCTCTCCCTTTTTCACACTGCCAGGCATGCTCTCCAGCACTGCTCACCAGTTAGGCCACCCAAAGCCTCCTTAGCAGGAGGCAAGTTCAGTTCTGCTGCTCTAGGGGCTGGCTTACCTGCACCCTCCCCTCCAGAGCCAGCTCCACTGCGCTGCCCAGTCAGGGTGCAGGGCCCACTCTCCCAATTGCTGCAGCCTGTGAGGAGCCATCACCCCTGCACCCCTGCTACCTCACACCAACAAGTAGCAGGACCTGTTCTCCAGCACTTACACCCTCGGAGCCAGCTCACTCACGCCCCTTCCACCAAGGCCAGCTCTACTCTGCTGCCCAGGTGCTCTGCAGGGCCTGAGTGCTGCAACAGGCGAGGGAAAAGGCCAACTCACCTGCCCTCATCACCCACGGCCAGCCCTCCTCTCAACTGCCACAAGTGGTGGTGGGGGGCTGAATTTTTTTTTTTTTTTTTTTTTTTTTTTTTTTTGGTACAGAACTTATATTGAGTAAAAACTAGAGCCCTTTTCCCACAAAAATTTGTATTTAGTGATTCAGTGTAATAAAATTCTAGTCAAATACAGAGGTGAACACTTGTAATCCTAGTGTCAATGAAACCAAGTCAAAGGATCATGTTTGAGGCCTGTTTAAAAAAGGAGGAGGAAAAAAAAGTTGGAATATGCAGTTAAATCTGTAAAGCATTTCAGTTGTTGGCTTTGAATAGTGGAGAGGATGTAATGAATGCCTTTGTTGACCTCACTGTCACCTGGTTCTGTCACTCTGCAGTCACGTGTCATTAGTTCCAGCATCTCTGCATTACCTCAGCGGTGACGCTTACAGGAGGTGTGTGCTTCTTCACACGCTTACCTCATGAACTGTGCGTGCTCAAGTGACAGAAAACCAAATTATTAAATGTTTACATAACATAATCAATTTAACTTGATAAGTTTTTAACTTAAAAATAATGTTATGGCTTCATTTCTTAAATTCTTTAGTACCAACAAAAACAAGATAAAGACAGTAAACAAGTTGAATACAAGCCAGTACAGAGACATCTAACCTGTATAAGAAATAAATCTGACAATTCACTTTCACAGCATCAAGGTAAGCTATTCTTGTAACATAGTGATAGTTTATTCAAATAACCATGTTTATTTAATATTTGATTATATTTATCAGACCAAACTTGATTTCTGATTATGAACAAATTTATAATGAAAATATTTTTGTGTGAATCTCGTTCTTGTCTCCAGGAGTTATTTAATTTGTTTCCCCTCATTTAGTATATTTAAAGGAAGAAAGAACTTACTGTATGGAGATGAGCCTTACCATTCATGGCCTTCTACTCAGAGGACTCTTAAGTCAGCCCATCATGGAGATAGTTATACATCTGTGTTTACTCAGTGTTCACAACTGGAATCAGCTTATATGTCCATTAACAAATTATCTCTGATAATGTGATGTTTTGAAGTGAAATGTGTGTTAACAGAGGGAAGCAGGAATGATGTTTTGTTGACTTACAGCAATGTTATTCAGTGATGGCTAGCTGACATTTAGTAAGTCAGCAAAAATTGTTATGAAAAATAAGAGAAACTGAGGTCTTAGCTAACAGGAAATTTTTGTTTTGATAGATTTCACTGTGTATGGATGACTGGCCTTGAGGTCTCTCAATAGACCAGGCTTCCCTTGAACTCACAGAAATCCACCTGCCTCCATATCCTGAGTGCTGGGATTAAAGCAGTGTACAACTCTGCTCAGCCTTATTTTATTTATAAAGTTACTTAAGGTTAGCTTAGTGATTTTGCATCTAATTTTACATCTAATAAGAAAAGATAGCTGGGTGTAGTGGCCCGTGCCTTTAATCCCAGCATTTGGGAGGTAGAGGTAAGTGGATCTCGGTGAGTTTGAGGCCAGCCTAGTCTACATTGAGAGTTTGAGGATATTCAGAGCTACATATTTGGACCCTATCTTGGAAAAAAAAATAAACAACAACAAAAACAAATACAAAGAGAAAAGAGATAGGCAAGTAGGCCTTATTTTAGCTTTGACTAAGACAAATAAAAGTCCAGTAAGCTATAAATGAGGCACTTGCATAGATACAAAGTCTCTGCATAATTGATATGTATCTCTGTACAGAGTGTTCTTAAATGAACATCCTTGCCTTGGCACATATAGTCAGGACTTTCTCCCATAAAATGTGTGCACTTGGTTCATTTTCTCCCTCTCCTGAAATTCTGAAATATTTCCAAATATTTCAAAGAATAGGAGAGTCAATGTGCCAAAATAATCTCTGGGGCCCTTGTGACCTTGAATGACCTTGAAAGAATAAAATCCTATATTTCTTGTACGCAGAAGTCTTGAAGACAGTGCAATTTGCCATATCACAAGGGAATCAGAACCACATATTTTCTGGCAAGTAAATGGTTCTAAGGTTACTCAGTTTCTAGTTATGACTGTTTTACCCTGGAGTCATCATGTATTTTATTTTAAAATACATAGTAGCTTATTGTGTGTATATAAAGAAGTGAAGCAAATTACTAGAAATAATATCTTCTTCAATGAGCTAGCTCCCACTAAAAAGGATGCAGAACATGGCGGGACATAGGCTCTTTCATTGCTGAAGAATTGTCAAGATCTTGTTTTATTTCCACATTTCAACATAAAAGAAATAAAACTCATTATTGTGACAGGTAATATCTTTGGAGTATAATAAATAAGAGCTTTTCAAGCAATTGGCAGATGCCTACAGTCCTAGCATTTAGTAGACCAAGGCCAGAGGGTATTCTCGCCTAGTCTCAAAAAACACAAGGAATAAGCAAACCAGTGATAACAATAATGGTGAAACCTTTTCATCTGCTGCTGAATTTACTGGGAATGTTCTTTGACCCCAGAAGTGAGGCTATCACTTCTGAGTCAGCACTTTTACGTGAAAACAACTTCTTCAAAAAGTGATTTTTATTTCTGCTTTTCACCCTTTTCTTCTATGCTTAGTCAGTGTTCTATTACTGTGAAGAGACACTATGACTGCATTTAATTGGGGTTCACTTACAGGCAGACATGGTGCTGTAAAAGTAGCTGAGAGTTCTAGAACTGGATAGTCAAGTGGCAGTAAGAGAGACAGACACTAGGCCTGGCTTGAGCATTTGGAACCTGAAAGCCCCCAGTGACACACTTTCTCCAGCAACACCACATCTACCCCAACAAGGACACAGAGTAGTGCCACTCCCTCATGACTACGCATTCAAATCTTTGAGCCTATGAAGGCTTTTCCATTTCAAAACACCACATCATCTTAGTGTTTCACTTTATGTGAAGATACCTGCATACAGGTGGGGGAAAATCCTTATGAGGAAAGACATTTCTCTGGAACATTAGTGAGTTTTAAAACAGCTTTTGTTTTGTTTTGTTTTGAGACAGGGTTTCTCTGTGTAGCCCTTGCTGTCCTGGAACTCTCTCTGTAGGCCAGGCTGGCCTTGAACTCACAGAGATCCGTCTGCCTCTGTTTCCTGAGAGCTAGGACTAAAGGTGTGCGCCACCACCTCAGCATCAGATAATTATTTTAACTTCAGCTTCTTTATGAAAACTCTGTGCCTTCTATTTAAAAGAAGGGGATATACAGATTATCTAGGAACAGATGCTCACAATTAAATCAGTTCTTTAAGAAGGAACTAAACAGAGGGCCAGAAAGACGGCTCAGTCATCACTGAGCCTGACCATCTGAGTTCAGTCCTCATGACCTGCATGGTGGAAGGAGAACCAATTCCCAAAATTTGTCCTTTGCCATCAAAATGAATGTATTGTCTTTACACACACACACACACACACACACACACACACACACACACACATAAATAAATATATAATAAAAGATATAAAGGCCGGGAGGTGGTGGCACACACCTTTAATCTCATCACTTAGGAGGCAGAGGCAGATGGATCCCTGTGAGTTCGAGGCCAGCTTGGTCTACAAAGTGAGTCCAAGACAGCCAGGGCTACAGAGGGAAATCCTGTGTAAACAAACAACAACAACAAAGGAGATTTAAGGAAAGGGTAGAGAATGTATATATCATCTAGTAGAGAACTATGCATATTTATGTCCTTTGAAAGTGGGCAATGTAGGGAGGGGCCTGCAGTGGGCATACAAAGTGAATAAATTGTACTAAATAAGTATATAAATAAAGTTAAATTTTAAAAATAAAAAAAGAAAGTGGACAATGCATAAAGGATTACATTAGAAAGTAAATAAGCCATGCAGGTGGAAGTCAGAGGACAGTTTTCAGGCATCTGTTATCTCCTTCTACCGTGTGGGTTCCGGGATTAACTTGGGTTGGCAGACTTGACAGCAAGAACCTTTACATGTTGAGCTATCTTACGAGCCCTCCCAAGTCACTGAAGTTACTGTGTGTAGACTGATGCATCTTTATATTAATGAAGTACACAGTCCCGGGGGCGGGAGAACCTGCTCCAGGGCATCTGAACCTAGCGTCGGAGTTGTCACTGTTAGGAGCATCTACTCTAGTGTGAGGGTCTCTTATGCAGCACAGCCTTCCTCCAACAAAATGAACTATAATTACAAATTAATGCATTACCAGCGCTGTTCTAATCAGCATAATTATTTATTAAATGCTTTAGCTACTTAAGTTATTTAAATAAAATAATAATTAAGCAGATCATTTCAGCCAGAATAGCAGTAAATTTTTCTCCCAGCCCACGTCTACCTGTTCTCATGCTGGAAAGCAAGAGGCTTGATTATTTCAATTCAGCATCAGAACCAAGAAGCAATAGGTGTGTGTTTTGCTTGCAGAGCTAACCACTCCTGTGTCGCTCATTGGTGTCTGAAGATGGTGCTTCTAAACTTGAATGGACATGAACTTTTCTAATTACTTGAGACCCAGATCTCAGGCTGCACCTTGACACTACCTGCGGTGGAGTCTGGGTGTGCAGAAGCTCATCTGGAGCTCACAGCTCTGACTCAGAAGAGGACACACGCTGTTGAGCAGCACTGCTGAAGGACTCCAGTTGTCTTGGTGACTTACGCGTCTCCTCTAGACGTAAAGGCAGTGCAGCATCACGTGCAGTCTGGGACCAGGCTGCCTAGGTTCGGACACAGCTCAGCTGGCGTCTGGAAAAGCTGTTTATCTCTGTGCTTTTCTGACATGTACGATGATACAGCCTTTATTAGGCCGATGCGGTCATTAAATAAAAAAAATGCCCTGTTATATAAGACATGGAATATTAGGAACTGTGGAAGTAGTAGCAGTAGTTAGCATGACTGTATGGAGGAAATCGCTTCTTTCTTTCCTGCTTAGAATTTAAGCAGCTGTTCCTTTAACAGGTAGGAATTGAACCTGTGCTAGTCCTGAGCTCTAGAGATGTTGGTGAGAAAGTGCTAGCAGGATGTTTTCTGTGTGACTTTAGGTGGATACATTGACTTTCCACAGCACATTTATTGTTCTTCAGAGTGAATATAAAGTTATGGTTAGGTGTAGTATGTTTAAATATGTGCTATATGTACACATTGGCTTCTTCAGCACAGTTTTCCTTCAACTTGTTCATTGTCTAGTTAAATCTAGGAAAGTTTATTAGTAAGGGTGCTTTTCCTGCTATAATCCTGTCTGTTGGCAGGTAATGTTTTTAGTAAATCATATTCAGTCAACAGTTCTCTTATTTTGTGTGTGTTTTATACATGTGAATGTATGTATTAAGTGTCTATGTGGAAACTAGAAAATGACCAAGGATCTGCCCAGCTCTGGGGTCATAGCCATGTCCAGCTTTTATTTAGGTTCTGGGACTCAGCTTGTGCAGCCAGTGCTGGGCCATCTCTGCAGTCCCAACTCCCACACTTTTAAATCTAAAAGAGAAGTGATCATTCAAGGCTCACAAGCATGTGTAGACTGTGACACCCTGGTTCAGGCTGGATATGAGTTCATACAAAGGCATTGAAAAGCACTATGCTTAGAATAACTACCTCAAATTTCTAATTACAAAAAGCGAACACAAGAAAAGTGTTTTATAATAATAAAGTAAGTACTTTCATAAAAGATGTTTGTGTGGAACTGCAATTACTCTTCAATTTAAGACAGAGTGCCAATTGCTCTTTAAATA